TTTGTTACCTCATGTATACATAAATATTACTTAGCTATTTGGGAGGAAAAGATTTTCATTTATGCCTGTATGTTTGGCAATAAATTTTACTCATATATAGTAATTGAAATCCACTCTTACCTATTATTACCACCGATACACTCTTACAAATGAAACTAATGCTGCAACTACTGCTTCTGCTACTGCTAGAACTGCTACTACTTCAGCTACCAATTTTAATACTTCTCTCACCACTGATACTACTGGTAAAAAAAAATTTCATTTGCTACTACAGCTTTAACATTAAAATTTCTATCTTAATTCTCGCGTCTATCAACAAAATACTGACAGTCGAAGGGCAATTTAGTTGGTGTGAAATCACACCCCACACGGAGATTGTACAAGATGGGATTGGATTCGAACACAGTCACAACGTCTATCTGTCCGTCTCTTTGCCTGAATGTCTGTTCGTCTGTCTGTCTATCTGAATATTTGTCTGTCCGAGTGTCTTTCTGTCTTTCTGTATGTATGTATGCACATATATGTATGTATGTTTGTTTGTGTCTAGGGTTAATTTGTATGTTTGTATAGTTTTTTGTATGTTTGTAGATTGGTTTGTTTGTATGTATATAGATTTTTGCGATCATTGCAACTTTATTTATTTATCACCATCATTATAACGAACGCATTTTTTAATAAGTAGCACGTAATTGTGATATACGAGGTTTAGGCTATGAGTGAACGAATGAATGAAGGAAGGATTGAATAAATGAGTGAACGAAGAGATAAACGGATGAACGATGGATAAATGGATGAACGATGGATAAATGGATGAACGAGCAAACAAACGAACGACAGTACTAATAAAAGATTGAGGAAATAAAAAATTATAGGCTATATTAAATGTAAATATTGAATGAATACTACTATTACTATTACTTTTGCCAAAACTACTACTACAACAACAACAACTACTACTACTACTATTACTACTACCATTGCTACTACTACTACCATTGCTACTACTACTACTACTACTACTAACACTACTATTACTACTACTACTATTACTACTACTACTACTACTACTACTTCTACTACTACTACTACTACTACTACTACTACTACTACTACTAATACTACTACTACTGCTACTACTACCATTACTACTACTACTACTGCTGCTGCTGCTACTACAAACTGTAAATAATATTCTTAGAAATGACGTATTAATCAATTGGAGCGCGCCGAAATGTATTATGATTTGATACGATGCTTTGTCGATACATGCATTCATCGGTGGTAGTAGTAGTAGTTGTAGAGAAGTAGTAGTAGTAGTAGTAGTAGTAATAGTAGTTGTTGTTGTTGTTGTAGTAAAAGAAATTTTTTTACAAGTTAAATTCTAGTAGGATTGTAGAATGAGAAAGAAAGTGATTGACGGAATGAGAAAAATTGGTAAAAAAAAAGAGAAAATAAATACGGAATAATATTTTTATCATTCGTAATTGATGAAAATAATAAAATATAATAAAAATATTAATATTATTATTATTATAATTATTATTATGGAGGATATCTGGTGAAAATCATATTTCAAAAGTTATTCGCTATTTCCGAAAGGAAAAAGAAAGAAAAAATAGAAAGAAAGAGCAAGAGAGAGAAAGAAAGTAAAAAAAAACGAAAGAGAGAGAGAACAAGGGTAAAAAAGAGAGAAAGAGAGAGAGAACAAGGGTAAAAAAGAGAGAAAGAACGAGAGTGAAAGAGTGAAAATGAGAGAGGATGAGATAAAAAAAGCAACCATCGGAATAAAATGGTAAAAATCGAAATAAACAAGAAAGGGAGATGATGAGAAAGAGAAAGAGAAAGAAAGAAAAAAAGAGAGAGAAATAGAAAAAGAGAGAAAGAAAAATAGAGAGAGAGTAAAACAAAAAACAAAAAAAGAATTACTTAAAGAGAGTAGATTTTTTTTATTTTCCATTCTAAAAACTGGTTTGCGAACATACAAAATAAAATAAGAGAGAGAGAATGAGAGAACAAAAGAGAGAGAGAGAGAGGAAAGAGAAAAAGAAAGAAAAAGTAAAAAAGAGAAAATTAATGACGTAACGACGACTACAATGGTGCTGATGGCGATGGTGGGTTGATGATATAGAAGATAAGGAAAAACAATTTGAAGAACTTGCGTGGGGCAATCATTCATCCGCTCTTTCATTCATTCATTCATTTATTAATTCATCCGTTCTTTCATTTATTTAGCATTTGTTCAATTAAGCAATCAATCATTCATTTATTTTTTTATTGAATCGTTTATTTGTTTTTATTTGGCATTCATTCATTCATTCATTCATTCACTCACTCATTTAAGTTTTCACTTTTTTATCACACATCTGCGTACCAATCTATTTACCATCCATCTAACCATTCGTTCATTTATTAACTCATTTATTTTTCATTCATCCATTCATTCATTCATTCATCTATTCATCCATCCATTCATTCATTCATTCATCTATTCATCCATTCATTCATTCATTTCCTGATAGACAGACAGCTACTTGATAAAAAGAGAAGAAGAAGAAAAATATATAACGAAAGAATACGGCTGAACTTCAAAACCAGGAAGGATTGAAAGTAGCAAAAATTGAAAAATTTGAAGTAAGGCAGGCAAACAATAGGAATAATGAGACAGCATGAAGAAAAGAAGAAGACAAAAACGAATAAAAAAGAAAAATAAAAAAGAAAAGAGAAAGAGAGAGATAGAGAGAAAGAGAGAGATTGATTGATTTTTATGGATATGGGATCGCAGGAT